TCCGCCCAAGCCGAAGAGGACTCCACATCCATCTCGTGGGGACTCTGGGTACACGGCAGGGAAGTAAAGACTCCTGTGTGAGATTCAGAGGAGCTTGGCGACTTGATCCATCGCCCACCTCTTCCTGTCTTCGAGCGATAAAAATTATAAGACGTATCTACGAGTCCGATTTTGGTGGCGCGCTCACCCAGAGCATCCGGAGCTCTGTTTCCGTGGAGCCTAGCAAACTCCACGTGACCGTTCGTGTGTCTTTGTCTGTAACCGCAGCTCAAGCAAGTTTTTCAGCCTACACCACGACCATCTCTGGTGTAAGTAAACAATCTTTAAAACTACCGCTACGAGTCTGTGCCTAATTCTAGCTTGTCGCGCCCCTCTCTCCAACCCCGCGTGCCCGGGCTGCTGGCCACAGCCCGCGTGCAGCACGAAAAAGGGCCCGGCTCACGCCCGGCCCGCACAGAATGAAGAGACCCAAAGAAAAATGCAGCACAACATATTAGTTACCTACCAAATATGATCTACTAAATATAACTTTATACTTTCAAAGCACCACAATCCATCAAACCAAGTTATCAGCTTTATCTCATAACATATAACAGCAAAATCTTCAAAAACCAGTCAAAAGAGAGGTGTCACAATTCTTCAATTGCCTAAGGCAGCAGTTTTAACCTTTTTAGACTCAAGGCACCCTTCAGAAAATGTTTTGAGAGAGTTTTTACTCTTTGACCGCAGAAAAATAGAGCAATCTTCTTGTTGCAAAAACCTAAAAGACCACAACGGGTCAGAATGGTTTTAATACTATTGACTCCTATTTGAAATCTTAGGTGTACAAACATGATTCACAAGATAAACCCAGAGTGCTAAGGTTGCTTGGCATCCTTGAAAGGATCTCAAGACACCTCTGGCTCAGAATCATTGGCTTAGCAAAAGAAGATACGTTTTCATTTAAAAAAAAAGAAATTAAGCAAGAGGATTCACAGAATACCAAGTTAACTACGTAGTATTCTTCAGTTTCATATTGATTTTCAGTCATGAGAATTTGTAAGGTCCCTCAAATTAACTGACCTCTATACTTTCTTTTTTCTCCAAAGTAGATGGTATTGAAAAAAAAAATAGGAATAAGGTGATGGAGGGAAGGGAAGAAGCAGGAGAACTGGGAAAGAAAAAGACAAAAGATAAACTAGCCATTGGCATCAGCTGAAAATACTGAAATTCAAAAAGTAGAGTAACTCTGCATAGCACAGATAAGCTGAAATCTCACCAAAAAAAAAAAATTTAGAATTTGGGCCTACAGCTGACAGCACTGATACAGTTTATGATGCAAGGTATCTAAAAACTAAATGCAACTTATAAATTCTATGCCAATAAAACATTTTTAAACAGCTCAATTAATAAAGTTTTGTGCCGCTGAATGTGATAAGAGTCATCAGCTCCCTGCCCCCCGATGCACCATGGGCTGTGAAGTAAGATGTAGAGAAGCCAAGTTGTTAGGGAAGAACCAGAAGAGCCTGCAGCAGCCTATACTGCCACTTTTGTCCCTATCCTCTGGCCTGGCCCTCAACTGTCTTTTTTCTCCCCAACCACTTCTGCTTCCCTTGTATTGAGGCAACCAGCTCCCCCTCATCAAAAAGCTCCTTTCCGCTGCTGCTTGTAGCATGCTGCCTAACATCTAAGGCTAGAGGATAAGAGGCACCTTAGCTATCTAATTCTGGAGTCAAAGCCACCTCCAATGGGCAGAAGGTGGAACTATGAGAAAATCCTTGGGGCAACAAAGGGGCATGTGATAGTTCAACAGGGATGCAGAAATGCAAGACAGAACGGCTAAATTCTATCAGTTCAGCAGTGCCACTGATGTCAATCTTTTCTTCTGATTTCAAAGACACTGTTAAAGCAATTTAAAGCAGTTTTGTCCTGTACCACCAAGATCACAGGCTGACTGATTTTGGAAAAAATGCAGGAGAAGCCATTTTTATTAAAACCCCTTCTTCACAGAACTACGGGACGTAGTGAGAACTGAAGAATGAAATGCTGCTTACATTACCAATTTCCCCGATAGCTAGGCTGACAAAATAGCTTTTGTGTTCCTTTAAGGAAGAATCTTTAGGAAGTACCTAACGTGCTAGTCACATTGCTTTAAGCGGAACAACAAATCTAAATTACTTTTTCTGTTTCAACAATTTACTTCTTTTTACCATTGTGACACACCCTGATCCCAAATGTTGCCTGGGTATGCCTTTAAGAGATACTCCTGGGGTGCTTCCACACCTTTGGGATGCCCTTCTGCCCCAAACCTCTCTCTGCTGTTGCTTGACCACTGAGAATAACATGAGATGAGCCAGAAGCCAACTCCTTGTTATGTGTATTATATACACTATAATATACTGTACTATAACATATATAAAGCGCACACATGGACATAGCCAGGACGCAAAATTAGTATTTCATAACTTTCTTTTTAAACCAGAAAAAAAGAAGCCTATACAGAATTAAAAACAGAATCCTTGAGTTGGAAGCATAAGGTTTTTCTGGAATCTCTTTCTCTAACTCATATGGAAACCAGAATACTCATATATATGAGTCTATTTCTTTAAATACAGCTGGAATGAAAAGGCATCTTATATATTATAATCTTCTATTACATGCTTTTCAATAAATTGAGAAAACTCATTCTAAAAAAATGCATTTTCCTCATGAAAAGTAAAGTCTTAGTAAGAGCAAAAACATTTTGAAAAAACTGAACTGTGAAATATTTTTCAGTGGCCATACATACGTTTGCAAGGCTGCATTGGTGGCATTGATGAGGTTTCTATCTGTAATCTTCTCCAGTATTAACAAGGCACTAGTTTCATGACCCTAAACATACAGCAAACGTGTCATAACATATCATCTTTAGACAATTATTCTGTATATATCTTTTTACAGTAGTCTGTGGAGTTTTACAAGCAAGACAATATTTGGACATATTTTTCATTAACAACAAAACACCAATTGAGGCTCAAAATGTATACACACCTTGCTGCAAGCCAAATGAAGTGCAGTGTTTTTACTACCATCTTGCAAGGTCAGATCAGCCTTCGCACTGCTAACCAGCACCTCTGAAGGAAGGAAGTTTGCATTAATGAAAAAGTTAAGTGCATTCTAAAGTTATTATTGATTTAAATCTCTTTAAAAAAAAGTGAAAACCTAAATAAATAACTTTTAATTAAAAAACAAAAATGGCTAACTACATAATGCATGGTAGTTTTACAGGAACAATGTAACATTAATATCAAGAGTAAAACTAGAACAGAACTTTTTCTTTACCAACTGTATTGGTTTGCCCATTTTCTGCAGCCATCATCAAAGGTGTCTTCCCAGAAGAATCTACAGCGTTTACTTGAGCATTGTGGCTAAGGAGAAGCTGTAAACACTCCACATGATCTGTGAAAGCTGCTGCATGAAGGGGTGTTCTAAAAGGAATCAAAAGGACATTGGCTTAAGGTCCAAAAACATAAAAATATATTGTTTACAAGTAGAAACAGACTAATTCTGCAATTACATCTGGGTAGGCAGTCAGGGCACCCACATTCATTGTGGCTATTGTAAGTAAAACTGTTATTATTTTTTCAATGTTTAATAAGCCTAAAAAAAGCATTTACAGTCACTGGCAATAAATTCAAAGAGTTTATTTAGCACATGGACAATCTAGAAAAATAAAAATAGACAATGGATTGTGTTACCCTATCCAATAACAAAAATGCTCACTTTCCCCACACAATAAAAAGCTTATTCAAATCTTACTCAGTACAGTAGGACTGAGATACTTCTTTGCAGGACTAGCTTTCTTACACTTTGCTGTGGCTCTGCATAGTCCTGGATACTTTAGAAACCTTCTTTTATGCAGCAGTGGGTATTTCAAGATGCTTGCTGGAGCTTTTATTTCAAAGGGCGTGACTTCTCCGATCAGCTGTGCGCAACTACAGATGTGTCCAGCAGATCAGAGAAGAGACGCCCTGTGAAGAAAGTCATATCAAGCAGCTTATTATTATTATAAATTCAGCATCTGGCTGCAAATTTGTACCCAGGAACTAATGACCTAGGTTCTACTGCACATGGTTTTTAAAAATAACCAATTACTCTTTTTAATAGTACGGAGTAGAAAAGAGCTTCTAATGGAGAACTTAAAACACATACTATGGTTTAAAAACCAAGTAGGCTGTGACAAATTGAAAAAATCATAGCAAATATACTGCCCATGATATTTCTTAAGTGTAGTTATAAGACTTACCTTCCTTTAGAATCTGTTGAATTTACAATGCCAGCACCAAGAGTGTCAATTAACATTTCTGCAGCACCTTCATTGTCATTTATCCTATAAAAATTAGACAGGCTATTAGTTACTGAAGATTATAGCTTTAATTCAATATTGTAATAAAATCTGGTAAGAGTAATCTTGCTTACACAGCACAATGCAATGGACTGAAAGAATTCCCTTCCATTTTCTGGAAAATTTCTTGTTCCAAAAGAAGCTCTACACAGCTGTCATGACCTAAATGAGTTTAAAAGTCAGATATTAAAAACAAAATAAGAAAAACACCATTTGAAGTTTATGGTAATAATAAAGGTGAGGCAAATTAAATGAAACACTTGTTTGAAAGCAAAAAAAACCCCCCAATCTTGAACAATGTTGGATTTGGCTGCACGTTGGAATGAAGAAAGGTATGCCGTATTTTCAGGATTTGGAAGGCAGAAGCACTATTTCTCCTACAACCCCTCCCACTCAAGTGCAACTGCAATTTTCATCTATTTGTTATTAATCAGAGTTTACAGACAGACAGTCTCTTTAATAAGAGACAAAGATAAACATATTTTCAGAATTTTCTTCCAGTTACAGAAGGATATTTGGAATCACATTTCCATGATATATGAAACCATTAATTGTCAAGTTATTCTATCACCTATTAGAAAGTTCTTATTTATAAATGCCATATTTTCTTGCATACAATATGCCTCAGAATAAGATACGCATCTTGCTTTTGAAAGGCAGAATAAAGAAAAAAATATTTCCTTATAGTAAGTAGCTGAGTACAAGCAGCTAGGGAGCAGAGCTTGCTCATTGTTCTGCTTCCTGTGAGCTACGTGTAGCTTTTATTTACACTTTTGCTGGAAACCGTTGAATCGTTCTCATCTTCTCACATATAAATCCACTGCAATTTCCAGCAACTGTTTTTTGTGGGAAGGGCGTGTAATGTATGTGAAAAGATATGATATATAAACTAGCTTTGAAGTTGCTCACAGTGTCATTGCTCAGTGTTGTATTGCTATGCGCCAGGCATTAGATGCATGTAATCCAACCCAAAATCAAAATTGGTGGATAAAGCTATGTTCAATTTGTACTCGATTAGGAATCCTATTCTTAAAAGCTAAATACAACCTTTGTTATGGTCACAAGTAACCATGTTTTATTTGCTTACTGCATGCAACATGTAAACTGGACGTGCTCTACATATGCAGGTAAAGGCATGATAGGATCTAATGTGCTATCCACACAATGATGTCACCTGCCATGCCACACACCGCTGCAATTGTAGGATCATGCATTAGATCCCATCATGCCTACTGCTGTCATAAAGCAAGCTCCAGCACCTAGGAGACCCTTTGCTGACAAGGCTCTCAGCACAGGGATGCCCCATTCATCTGTGGCTGGATGACTGCAGCTGTTGTAATCTCCAAGCCAAGGGAGCACTCCATGCACTCGCCCACGGCTGGGAGATCACAGCAGCGCCCAACAGCTGCTGGGACCCAGAGCCTCCAAGGTGTGGACTCTGGGTCCTGGCAGCCATGGTGCTGCTGGAGCTGACAGTCCCCTCAGCTTCAGGACTCTCAGTCCCATCTGCAAATGGGGGATTATGGACAGTCCCCTGCAGCTGTGGGACTTGGTTCTGACTGCACCCCAGGTAGAGGGAAATTGCAGCAGCTGCAGTCTCCCAGCCACTGGGAACTGCCTACACATTCCAATTAAGGCTGGATAGAAACAGGCAATAAAGTTATTACACATTTTCGAGCAGTAACTTTATAGCTGGTTTGAACTTTTTGAGGTGCCATAGTTAATTTGCACATGTAGCCAGTCTAAATGTATTGTGCAATTAACCCAGTAACTGCAGAAAAATGTGTAAAGGGGGTCTTGCTGACTGACTGCATAAATCAAGAAACTGTGGTAAACCTGCAATTTGAACTAAGCCAAAAAGCATTTTAGGCTTGAGTACCCTTCCATGGAATATCAGAGTTTATCTTCACTCAGTCCATGCATTCATTTCTATTACTACTGTAACTTTCTTCTTTATGGATTATGAATTCTCTCCAAAAGAATAGTAAAGATACAATAAGAGATGCTGAGTACATAGGGGACCAAGGGCCCTGTCTTCTTCAGGAAGAGGGCTGTCACCTGAAATGCGTAAAACTTTCCACATGTCCATCATCTTAGCCGCCGCCCCCCTGGCAAAAATAAAAGTCAGTGCCTATGGATACACTGTCGTCTTCAATAAAATTTTAAGCCCAATCCTTGCAAAAATGCACCAAGGAAACCTTATTAGCTTCCTGTTAGTTCAACAGCTTGATGAATACAACAGAGCTGGTAATCCTACCAAACCTGTTCTTCCTCAATATCAAACAGGTTTATACGATCTCTGCAATATTGACATTAAAGAAACTGAAGTTTATAAGACAGATTTTTCTACATTTATACAATAATTCTTGACACGGGCCACACAAAATAACACTTACCAAAATATAAGGCTGCAAGAAGTAGAGCGAAGTATGCACAGATGTAAAGCTAAAAGCATATCATAACAAGAAAGTAGTTCTCCCTTTAACTCAATATCAGTTATTTTGACCTTTTAAAATTAAATTAATAGAACACATGGGAACCTACACAGTACGAGATGAACAAGTTCTACTTTTTCAAGTAAGTAGGTCCATATTACTACAATTACATATACACTCATCTCACAGCAGTTTGTTATGAACATAAAGGCTACATGGTTCTGGAATGAAGACATATGAAACAGCAGCATACCTACAGGCTAGGGAACTCCCTTCTCGTCAGCACAGAAGCAGAGAAGGATCTTGGAATCACTGTTGATTCCAAGATGAACATGGGCCGCCAATGTGGGGACGCGGTCAGGAAGGCTAACTGCACCGTGTCATCCATCCATAGATTCATCACGAGCAGTCCAAGGAGGTGATCCTCCCTTTCTATGCGACAGTGGTCAGGCCATGGTTGGAGTACTGCATCCAGTTCTGGGCGCCACACTTCAGGAGTTATGTGGACAGCATTGAGAGGGTCCAGAGGAGGGCCACTTGCATGATTAGGGGGCAGCAGGGCAGGCCCTATGAGGAGAGGCCAAGGGACCTGAACCTGTTCAGCCTCCACAAAAGAAGGCTGAGAGGGGAACTGGTGGCTGCTATAAACTTGCCAAGGGGGACCAGCAGGCAATGGGACAGTCCCTGTTCCCCCGAGCACTACCAGGGTAACAAGGAACAACAGCCATAAGTTGACCGAGAGTAGATTCAGGCTAGATATCAGGAGGCACTACTTCACAGTCAGGGCAGCAAGGAGCTGGAACCAATTTCCAAGGGAAATGGCGCTTGCCCCTACCATGGGGGTCTTCAAAAGGAGGCTAGATAATCATCTAGCCAGGGTCATTTGACCCCAGCATCCTTTCCTGCCCATGGCAGGGGGTCGAACTAGATGATCTGCTTAGGTCCCTTCCGACCCTACCAACTATGAAACTATGAAGATTAGCCATTTTTTTAATTTCATTCAGACAACATGGTGCAAGGAAAGATGCAAGCAAAGGAAAGGCAAAAATATGTTTTCCTCAACTCTTCTGCCTATGTGGTTTGATGGGATGCTTATAAGGCAAGTAAAAAAAACCCGCAAAATGTTTTAACCTGGAATTATTTTGATTATTTAACTATTTAATTTCCATTTAATGTTGCAGCATTACTGTGTTTTAAAATAATACTATAAACACAAAAAAGGAAAAGGCAGTCTATGTGAAACAAATATGGTAACTCCTAAACTCTAAAAAGAGGTAATATGCAAAACCTTTTTATTTATTTTAACTAAAAGCTTGATTGTGCTCCTACTCAACCCAGCAGCAAACACTGACGTCAATAGACATCACTTATGTCAACAGAACTGGACCAAATCCTAGTTACTAAACATTGGCTGGACAATCTATTCATTATGCTTAGAAACAGAGAAGACTCAAATAATTATGTCAACAGAACAGTGCATGTTTGGTGACTAATGCACAAACTAAAGAGGACTTTCCAATCAGGAAGATTTAGCACTGTCACATTTAGATAACCTAGAGATGAATATGTTTGTACAAATATTAACAGACAAACATGTCAAAATTTGAGCTATTACATACAAATCATGCACATGTATGTAAGTTGCCTATGAATAAATATATTTTAGCAAAACAGTTTACATGCCAGCACTTGAAAACCTGAAACTCAGTATTCCGTTTTGTGCATGATGAATATACCCATATGTTGTATCTTACGTAGAAAGATTCCAAATCTAAAGTTATTTTTTTAGATACCAGATGCACATAAACATCTGAGAATAACTTTTTTTTTTTTTTTTTTTTTTTTTTAAATGTGGAAAGTTTTATATTATTTCCAAACTAAGCTCCAAACTCAACCTGAATCTGGGAAGAGTCCTGGGGACAAGAAACTTCAGGATGTTAAGTATTTTCTTCTCCAGATCCTCCTCCTCGCTCCTTTCTACTTACCATTATAACAAGCCCAGTGCAGTGACGTATATCCATGATTGTCTGCTATTGCAGGTACTGTATCCACAGATGTTGCTGACTGCAAAAGAGCTCCTAAAACACCAATATGGCCACATGCAGCTGACAAGTGTATAGGTGTTCGACCCCTGCAGTCTCGTAATGTGGACTTAGCACCATGTTGAAGCAGCGCTTCCACACATTCCTCATGGCCAGTCACTGCCTGGCAGGGAAAGAAACAAATGTGAGTGTGTTTACAACCTGCACGTATAGTTCAAAACATGGAAATAAAATGGTTTTTACTGTCTTAATATTTAAGGTAGTGACTGCAAAAAAAGCCCAATTGTTCTTGCTTCAGCAAATGAGCAACATTAAAGGAAAAACAAAAAAACCCAACAAAACAACAGAAACCCCAGTCAACTATCCTTATTAGCTTAATAATAGGTTACATACATTTCTTATTCAATGGACTTAAAATACAATCAGTAATCTCCATGACCGACTTAATGGTCTCATCTGGAAGGGTCCTTAAAACATTTGACATGTAAAACAGAAAACAATACAGATATATTATTTCTCTCCCTCCTCCTATTTTCCCAGTAGGAAAAAATACACTTTATGTTTTTCTAGCTCGTGTGTTTCTGCACTCAGGAAAAAAACGTTAAAATACAGGGTAAATTGCAAAAAGGTAAAAAGTAGACATTAAAAAATAGTAAAGAGAAGACCAACTACGTGAAAGAAAATACTGAAGTCAATTGAAGAAAAAAAAAAAAAAAATCAGAATTGCAGAAGTGATGCAAGCTGCCAAAGTTCTCAATCTGTGTTTAAAACATTATTGAAAAGAACCGAAGGAAAACATTTTCTTACCCCTCTGTGTAATGCTGTCCTTCCCCATTTATCTTTGGCATCTACATTTGCTCCTTTGTTAAGCAAAGAATAAACGCAGTCTGTGTGCCCATTGAGAACAGACAACATCAAAGGAGTCCTGAACAGCAGAGAAAAAGAAGTTGCCATGTAAGTTACACTTTAATAGTCCGTGATCCACTAAAATATTTAAACACTCTGAAAACAAACTTTTGTTCTCTTAGAAAAAGCTCTTTTGCAACTGATTCATAGTCTTTTGTACTTTATCCACATGAGCAGCACTGATATTTGCTTTAAAGATAGAGAAAAGTAAATTCATTTCCAAGAGTACAATATAGAATTCCTAATTTTGCCATTAGACCACACTTTGTTTGGTGAACAGAGAAGTCTTCAGTTGTCTCCTCTTGGTTATCTTATATTCCATTAACAAAAGTCTATTAAATGTATAACTAACTGTACATTAAAGTATATTTATCCTAATTATGATGTGATATCTCTGTAAAAAAAATCATCACTAATTAAAATAAAAATTGTTCTTCGGATTATAGGATGCAATATTTTGTATGATCAGAATATAGACTTTTAAAACTTACTGGCCATTTCCATCTTGAATGTCGACTGCATTCTGTGGTTCTGCATTTCCTATCAACAATCGCAAGCATTCTGAATGGCCATTTGTAGCTGTAAAATATGAACACCATGTTAGGTATCCTTGAGTATGAAATTATATTTAGTGCAGTGGAAGATGAATCAGTTTCTACTAGAGCCCATTGTGAGTACACATTCACTATGATGAACCAGCATCTGCTTTGACTAACACACGCAGATTTCAATACTAGGTATATTATACATGCAATTATGAAGTGGTGGGAAATGAGATCACACCAACAAGTGGAGAGGGGAACACATAGACAATAAGTAGGAAAGGTAAGCCAAGAGGTGAGAAGAAAGGTAACTAGAGGGGAGATTATTTAAAAGCATCTCTTGAGAAATATAGTAGGCTTCCTGGGCTGAAAATATTTTGGCATATTCCTACTCCACTCAGCTCCTGAGTAGTAACTCATGTGGCTCTGCAGTAACTCTGCAAACCAAGTTGCTAGCAGTGCTACAGGAAACTAAAAAGAGGGAGAAAATGAAAAGAAGCAGAGCATTCAAGGCCAAACAAAGAGCTGGCTATAAATCTTATGGAACTCAAGACAATTTTTTTTTTAGGGAATGCTCTTTTCAACAGGACATTCTTTTCATAAAACCATTACTGCTATAACAACTTTTCCAAAAATATAACATTTGCAAAAAGACAAAAGAAGTGAATATTAGAAATACTTCAGAAAGGTGTATCTGTGGAAACTAATCGCAGGAATGAAACAGGAAATAGAGTTACAACTTATTTTTTCCTCAGTAAAGAGGTCAGTCATTGTAATCCATGAAAAAAACAAAAAAAAACAAACAAACTGCAGTCTTCCCCTCTCCCTTTTCGCAAAACTACCAGAGTCCTTTGGATCAGTTTAGAAAGTAAAACACTTTTGGGTTCCACTCAGATTTGGAAGGGTACAAGCAATGCAACACTACAGAACTATAACTGCTGGTATGTAAATCTAATTTGGGTGGCCACAAATTGGGCCCTGAAAGGATGTAGGCAGGGCCACAATCCTGTCACACGTACAGGACACCATAGTTGGCCTGCCATCAAGGGAAGCGAACAGATATATCCATTAAATGGCTACCACACTTTCCTAGAATCCAATCCCAAAACTGTTTTGCTAAATGAATACTCAGCAAAACATACCTGCAGCATGTATTGGGGTTCTCTTTACAACATAATCCTTCACTAAGATTGATGCTCCCTGATTAATGAGTACATCCACACATTCAACGTGGCCCTTGAACGCTGCAAGATCCAGTGGTGTTCTTCCATTATTGTTCCTCACATCAAGATCCAATAACGACTGCACAAGCACTTCTAATGCTTGATGGTGACCATGATAAGCCTAAGGAAATATTAAAAATTTAGTTTTCATGCCATTATGTCAGTATGTTTGCACTACAGTCCCATGTATTTCAGAAAGGAAACCATGAATTTAAAAGAGTATCTGTTACTTCATGTAAATTTAGCCATTTTAGATTTATCAGCTTCAAAAATAATTTCAACAGAACAACCTGTGCCCTTCTTAAAAAAAAAAAAAAAAAGCAGCAACTAAAACAGAAAATTATGCCTCATTTTGCCAGATTGTATACTATGCATTTGGGGGGGATCTGGTTTATTATCAGTTGTATCGCTTGCAGGAACTACTGTAGCTGCTGGCTCTTAATCTGCATCTGTTGAAAGCACTGTGGGCATTTACCAGGAAGAGTAGTACTAAAGCCAAAATGGTTGAGGCTAGAGACAGATGTGCACTAAGCAACCAGAAAAGAGATGAGTTTTACTATTATTGAGCATAAGACTCAACAAAGGCAACAGGTGTAAACAAAAACCCTCTTATTTTAAAAATATAAAAAGGATTTGTTTTTGTTTTTTAAAGCTTCAGGGAACAGTACATGAAGCAATTGGTCAAAACCCCTCTGTTTAAACTAAAGCTGGCAGCAACCTTATAAAAAATACCAGGGAAACATAATAGAGTGGTAAAAACCAAGGTAAAATGCATTTTAATAAAGGGCAGTGTATTAACTTTAATGAAACCATTAGCAGAGCAATTTTTATCCTTTATAAAGCTTTTCCAGAATTTATGTACCATAATAACAAAGTCACTCAGTGCAAGAACTAAGGTATAATTTTAAACATAGCCCTGGCATTTAATCTTTTCCACAATAGCTAAAGAACTTTTGATTTGACAGAGTATGCTCCCAACCCTGCCATGCAGGGCTGGCGGGCTGGGCAGCTTGAGTTTATGGCAGGATCTGGTTTAGTGATTGTACAAAGAAAGTAAAATTAAAATTAATATAAAAGGAGTTTGTTGTTTTTTTTTAAAAGATAAGCATTCAACTTATAGAAAGGTATGACACTTTTCTCCTTTTTCATATAAACTACAACTGGAGTTGCAGGAAATTCCATATAAAATGAATAAATAATTCAATACAGAGCAGGTGGCTGAACTTGGCATATGGGGAACTATGTAAAAGCAGATGAGAATACGCAAGCATCAATCAGGAGTACATTTTGGAACAATATACTGTAGAACGTATCAGCATAAAAGGTGTCAAATCCCATGCCAGAGCTACAAAAACAATGATCCTCTTCATAATTTAAAAAAAGAACTTTAAGGAAGAGTGCTTCATGTCCCCCGAGTGAGTGCTTCAGTCACTGCTCATATACACAACGCCTAATCTGTAACTTTTTTTTCCTATTGCATATTTTAACCTCACCTTTCAGTTTGGTACTATATGCTAATACAACCAATATATTAGCACTTTAGAAATATTTGGGAAAAATACTTTTTAATTTTTTTAATCTCTTAGTACATGTACAGTGGAGAGGGGAAAGTAAACATTATTTATTCAGCTTGCTTACTTTGCATTTAATTACACTTTTGTATGGTGACTTTTAGTGACTTCCATATGTCATTTGTTTCCTTTGTGTGGGTCTTTCATAACATCTTTTAAAATAGATGGCTGTAAAATGCTAGCAGTTGGTGAGGGACTTAGTACTTTAAGCTACTTTTAATCTCTTTTATTGAACAGTTGATGGGTTTTTTTTTAAGTAAACAGTGCATTTACAAATAAGATGCAAATGTTATCTTGTGTAATTCACAGAAGAGAGACTGTGTGTATCAGTAGTTGTAAACTATTGTTGTTCTTCTGTAAAGAGATCATTGAAATGAATCAAAACAGTCTTAATGCTCAGTACAATGTTGCCTTCATATATAAAATAATCAAAATAGACCAAATAGTCAACATTTAGAGAATCAAATACTTACAGCTAAATGCAAAGGACTAATTGGTGCTCTGTTGTCCGAATCATTCAGCATATCAGTACCTGATGTTTCCATTAGCTAGTAGAAATACAAATAGAGATTAAATGGAAAAAATAAGGCCTATATATAACACATTAAAAAAAAGAAACAAAACAAAACTGTATAAGACAGGATATCCCTAACCATTTAGAGATTAAAGTGCTCAAAAGTCTACACACATGATACGGCAATATATTTTCTCCATGAATTATATATTAAATTATTATTCCTATCTTTTAAAAGCTTTGAATTTTACATACATCCCCCCAACTATAGGCTGTTTAATTTTCTGAATAGTGAATTTATCAAATAAAAAAAACTTCTGGAAATACGATTTTTGTTTTGTTTTGTTTTTTAAATTGAAACAGTTTACAAATAATGGGAGAGCCCTGCATAGGAGTGTAACATAAGGCAAGCAAGATGAGAGAAACTGAAAACGCAAGAGCCAAGCAGTTAGGGTAGATGGGATGGAGGGAAGAAATGAAAAGTCAAAAGCATAAATTCCTCCAACAGCAAGGAAGGAAGGGGGAAGAAAAAAAGGAAGGAAATAGTGAAATAGTGATACAAGATAATTATGCTAGATTATTCAAAGCTCTTTGACACATTAATCTAAATTAAATACAGGAAACCCTCGCTATTCGCGAACTCCAGATTCGCGGATTCAAATATTCACGGGGGAGGGCAGAGCTGGGGAGATGGAGGGAGGCAGCAGCGGCGGCATCTTCTCCCCCGGTGGCAGCCGCAGCAGCACTTGGGGGGGAATGGGTCAGTCCCCAGGTGCTGCAGGGGAGCCCCGCGAACAATGTGGGGGAGGGAAGGAGTGGGCGACAGGGGTCTGAGGGGGAGCCCCATCAGTATTTGCGGATTTTGCCATTCATGGGGAGCTCTGGAACGTATCCCCCGTGAATGGCGAGGGTCTCCTGTACAGGAGAATCCAAAATCTTTGGAAATATATGTGGCTATCCTCCACTCCCTCCGCCCCCCGACTTTTTCTTTAAAAAAAGATGCATTTCAAACATTGGATTCCACTATTTGAAGAGAAGTTGTAATTAGCATGATCATTCTATTAATAAATAAGGTATTATAACTGGTTTAAATCCAACCTAGGCTTCTAATGAGATATTTTATGTTTTAATTTTTTTTCTGAATTGCAAATATAAAACATAGCACTTGAACACAGATAAACAATAGCATTCCACAACAGAATGCCCCTATTTTGATACGTACAACTTTAAGGATAAAAAGAATACACACACTTACAACATCTAAAGGCGTTTCACTTGCAATCTGCAATTAAAAACATTTAAGCAGTTCAACAGACTTAAATAAATTTGAGAAAACATAGGCAATTCTTCAGAAAAGTACTGTAAACATTAAAGAGAAAATCAAAATGTCAAATAGCATACTCAGGCTTTAGATACACATGGCTTTTGTAATGCTATAAAAGCCATTATGGCTGCTGACAGACATGGAAAAACATTTTAAAAAGTGCTTTACCAAAAGAAGCAACCCATTAGGTTCAACCCAGTTCTGCAGCATCTGTGTAGTAGGACTGTGCAAAGCTTCACCAGCTGTTTCATTTTGATGGTTTTGACTCGTTTTGAGCTCAAAACAATGAAATCGAAATGAAACAAAAGGGCTTCAAAACAGCCTCAAAATTAAACGAGGCCAGCTGAAATGCTTCAAAGCAGCAGCTGGATGATAAGAGGTAGGGGAGAACCAGGGCTGCGGTCTGAGCAGTTCTGCAGCCCCATGTGGCTCAGCCCGGCGGGGAGCGCAGCCCTGGCTCTTCCCGCCTCCCACCGCTGGGCTGTGCTCTGATCTGCTCCGCCAGCGCCATGGAGCTCAGCCCAGTGGCAGAAGGCGGGCAGAGCCAGCGCCTCCCCCCACCGGGCTGAGTTCCATGGGCTGCAAGCAGCTAGGAACTGAGCCCGGCTGGGGGAAGTGCCTCCACCCACCAGGCTCAGTTCCCTACCACTTGCAGTGCTGGGGAACTCAGCTGGGCTGAGGGAAGTGCCTCCTCCAGCCAAGCCGAGTTCCACAGCACTATGAAGGGCAGGGAAATGAACCCGGTGGTGGGAGGAGCTTCCCCCAGCCGGGTTCAGTCCTAGGCAGCAGGAGCAGGGACCTGTCATCCGGCAGGCAGGTTGGGGGCCTGCCTGCACCCCTGGGAGAGCTGCAGGGGCTCTGCTGGACTCCTCTCAGGGGTGCAGGCCCCTGATCTGCTGGATCACAGGACGTCGCTCCTGCTGCCCAGCTCCTACTTGTCAGCAGCCCGAGGTGCAATTTCCTAGAAACCCCTGCACTGATCTTGAAACTTGGCAGGGTTCATGCCCTCAGAACAGGCTACCATCCCTGCAAGTTTCATCAGAATTAGGCAAGAAATGACAGAGTTATAGGCTGTTTTGTGCTTCCCCATTATAGCATATGGGCGAAATGTCGAAACAGTGTTGAAACAGCAAAACTGTTTTGACGGAACAGAACAGTGCTTTTGAAACTAAACAAAACTCGAAACGAAACACTGTTCCGTCGAAACAGAAGTCAAAGCGGAACACTACTGTTTCACACAGCCCTACTGTATAGATTAGGTACTTCAGTGGGGCTTTTTGGCGCTTTTATCTGAAGCAGATTCAATCAGCTATTAGATAAAAGCACCAAAAAAGCCCTGCTAAAGCACCTGATCTATACAGATGTTGGGAGAGCTGGGTCAAACTAACACAATGCCTCTGCTGTGTATGTGCTAAATTTGGCGTGGGGGCACATGGAGTTTAAAGTAAAGAGCTGTTTCTTTTGTGTGTGTGTGTGTGTGTGTGTGTGTGTGTGTGTGTGTGTGTGCGCGCGAGAGCGCGCG